AAACAGACCCATAACTGAGACAGAAATTGAAACAGTAATGAAGGCCCTCCCAACAAAGAAAAGCCCAGGACCAGGTGGGTTCACTGCTGAATTCTACCAGACATTTAAAGAAGAATTAATTCCAATTCTTCTAAGTTATTAAAGTGAGTGAGAGAATCCTCCTAAATTCCTTCTATGAGGTCAGAATAACCCTAATTCTTAAACCTGAAAAAGATGCAACAGAGAAAGAGAATTACAGACCAATTTCCCTGATGAACATTGATGCAAAAATCTTCAACAAAATTCAAGCAATAGAATCCAACAACACATCAGAAAGATCATCCACCCTTACCAAGTGGAATTTATCCCTGGTATGCAGGGATGGTTCAAAATTCACAATGTGGTACATCGCATTAACAAACTGCTGAACGAAAACCATATGATTATCTCAATAGATGCAGCTAAAGCATTTGATAAAATACAACACCCTTTCATGGTGAAAACTCTAAAGAAATTGGGTATAGAAGGTACATTCCTCAATACAATCAAGACTATTTATGACAAACACTTAACCAGTATTTTATTAATTGGGGAAAAGTTGGAAGCATTCCCACTGAGTTCTGGTCTCAGACAGGGGAGCCCACTCTCACTACTGGTATTCTGTATAGTACTGGAAGTTTTATCCAGAGCCATTAGGCAAGAAAAAGAAATCAAAGAGATACAAATTGGGAAGGAAGAAGTTAAACTATCCCTGTTTGAAGACAGCAAGATTCTTTATATAGGGGATCCAAAGTACTCTACTAAGGGACTATTGGAACTCATAGACAACCCACTTAAGAAATGGGCCAAGGATATAAATAGACATTTTTCAGAAGAAGAAATCCAAATGGCCAACAGATACATGAAAAAATGTTCAGGATTGCTAGCTGTCAGGGAAATGCAAATCAAAACCACAGTGAGGTTTCACCTCTCCCCTGTTAGAATGGCTTTCATACAGAAATCAACAGACAACAAATGCTGGCATGGATGTGGGGAGAAGGTACCCTAATCCACTGTTGGTGGAAATACAAACTGGTAAAGCCACTATGGAAGACAATTTGGAGATACCTCAGAAATCTGAATATAGTCCTACCATATGACCCAGCCATTCCACTCCACAGAATTTACCCAAAGAAAATTAAATTGGCAAATAAAAGAGCTGTCTGCACCTCCATGTTTATTGCAGCTCAATTCACAATAGCTAAGACATGGAATCAACCTAATTGCCCATCAACAGAAGACTGGATAAAAAAATTATGAGATATGTACTCTATAGAATACTACACAGCAGTAAAAATAAAAACATGAATTCTTGTCATTTGCAACAAAATGGAGGAATCTGGAAAACATCATACTGAGTGAAATTAGCCAGTCCCAAAGGTACAAATATATGTTCTCCCTGATCTGTGACAACTAACTGAGCACCTAAAAAGAAACCTGTAGAAGTGAAATTTGACATTATGAGAAGCAATCACTTGATCAGCCCTGTCCTGACTGTCTAGGAACAGTTTACTATTTTATTATTTTTAGTATTTTCTTTTTCTACTTAATACCATTTGTTGAGCTCTTTACTTAAAACTGAATTATTCTTAGGTGTTTAAATCCAATTGAAAATTGATCCCTGTAAAAAATAAGAGTGGGAATAAGAGAGGGAGTAGATGTACAGTTTGGCACATGTTCCCACTGACTTACACCTAAAGGTAAAGCTAAAAACTTGCCATGGGACTCCAAATCCCATTCAGTTGGCAGGTGCTAAAGCCATTATTTTAAGTGCATAACTGATCATAAAGAGAGGAATAAGTGTCAAAGGGATCACATAAATAAGACCAAGTGTCTGCTAATAACAATATACAGAATTAAAAAGGAGAGAATGATCCAACATGGGAAGTGGGTCACACAGCAGACTCATAGAATGATAAACACTCTAAACAGCACACTGGCCTCAGAATCAGCCCTTAAGGCATTTGGATCTGGCTAAAAAGCCCATGAGAGCATTTCAGGCATGGAAAGCCAAGACACTACGGCAAAAAATGGCCTACCTGAAAGATCTCTGTGAGTGAGATGCCAATAGAAGAAGAGAACATCAAAGAAGGAGGTACTTTTCTCTGAAGGGAGGAGAGAACTTCCACTTTGCTTATGGCCCTGTCTAAATACTGACAGAGTTTTGGACTCAAAAGGCTTCCATAGCCTTGGCCGCTCATGACAAGAGCCTCGGGTGATCACTGATGTCATAAATAAGAGTGTCAATTGTTAAATCAACAACAGGAGTCACTGTGCACTTACTCCCCATGTAGGACCTCTGTCCTTAGTGAGTTGCTTTATGAGAATTATCGGTAAAAGTAATATTCAAACAGTACTTTATACTTTGTGTGTCTGTTTGGGTGGAAACTGTTGAAATCTTTACTTAGTATAGAATTGATCTACTGTATATAAAGATAATTAAAAGTGAATCTTAATGAAGAATGGAATGAAGAGGGAGTAGGAGGTGGGACAGGGGTGGGGAGGGGTGGGAGGCCGGGTATGGGCGGGGGAAGAACTGCTATATTCCTAAAGCTGTACCTATGAAATTTATATTTATTGAATAAAAGCTTTCATACACACACACACACACACATACATATCATCACCTCAGCCGAATTGATAAGTTTATGGAGAATAAAATACTTCTGCCTAGTAAAATAGCACAGGTCTAGAAAATTTTTGAAATGCTAGAAAATACAAATCTGCATCTTGATTTTCCTGGAACTGTCCTGAATACATGAAGATGCTCCTTTCTCAATGTCAAAATGCACCAGGTAATGACTGATTATTTTCAGGCCATATTTTCAGGTTTTTTAAGGTTTCAGGTTTTCAAGATACATTGCCTGACCTGACTTAATGTCTTATTGGCTTAAGGCAGAAAAGCGCTTCTTTGAAACATGGTTGGTATTTCTGATAAGCCCTGATTTCCCTGCTACTATTTTATTAATATACAGTAAGATTTATTTATTTATATTGCCATTTTGAGATATAAGATTTTTTAAAATATTTTAAGATCTATTTACTTATTTCAAAGGAAGAATGATAGAAAGAGGGAAAAGGGAAAGAGAGATTTCCATCTGCTGCTTCACTTTCCAGATGGCTGCAACAGCCAGGGTTGGGTAGGTCTCCTACGTGGGTGCAGGCACCCAAGCACATGGATCAACATCCACTGCATTTCCAGGGCATTCGCATGGAGCTGGGTTGGAAGTGGAGCTGCTGGGATCTCAAACTGCACTCAAGTCGGATTCAAGCATCAAAAGTAGTGGCTTAACCCACTGCACCACAACGTGGGCCCTTATATACTTTTAGCTCCATGAAGGCCTGTTAAATTATAACAAACTGGAGGAAAGGGGTGGAACATAAATATTTCAGAAGAACTATGTGAGAACAAATGTTCAACTATGAATAGCAACTAGAATGAGCAAAGAAGGGCCTGGGTTTTCCTCCCATGAAACTCAGTGGCATGCTTAGCATATCCATTTGTACATTTGTCAAAACCAAAGGACGGGTTTGATAATATATGTGTTATAAGGAATGGAGAGAACTTCCAGAATATGATCTTTCTTAATGAAGAGGAACAAAGATGAACATCTCATTTAAGAAATACTAGAGGGGCTGGTACTGTGGTGGAGCTGGTTAAGCTGCCATCTGCAGTGCTGGCATTCCATATGGACACTGGTTCAAGTCCTGGCTACTCTACTTCTGATCCAGCTCTCTGCTAATGGAGTGTAAATGCAGTGGAAGGAGGATGAAGTCCTGCACTCATGTGGGAGAACCAGATGAAGCTCCTGGCTCCTGGCTCCTGGCTTCGGACCAGCACAGCTCCTCCCTTGAAGCTATTTTGAGCGTGAACCAGTGGATGGAGGATCTCTCTCTCTCTCTCTCTCCCTCTCCCTCTATGTAACTGAGCCTTTCAAATAAATAAATAAATCTTTAACAAATATATACTGGAAGAAGACTGGCATTTCAGAAGCAAAGCAAAGATCTTTAAAGCAACAAGAACATTGGCAAAAGTCATCAAAGTCAACTTTTTTTTCAAAACTCCAGAAACTCAGCAAAGGCTTGTGACAATTTGGAGGGCATTTACTGGCACAGAACATGTGAATCTTGGTAAGAACAGTGAGCTTCATGGTGTTTTCTTGTCCTGTTTCTGTCATCTTCTCCCCAGAACCAATGACCTCACAATCATGATAGTTGTGCAACCTCCTCACAACATGGCGAAGAGAGGACCCGGATTCGGTTTGCCTCATTGATAGGACTTGTAAGAACCTGTGGCAACTCTAGCAAGTAGAGCAGAGTGTGTGCTGTGGGACACCGAAGACAGGCGCGTATCAACGCCAAAAAAATAAAAAGAAAGGGGGATCTGTGGGGAGCAGCTCGGACTAGACTAAGTTACTGGAATTAAGACTTATTCTATGCATCTGCTCTCCTACAATATGGCGCTGGGAGAGGAGAAAACAGCTTCTACCCAGCTGCCTCCAGTTCAACCAATAAACTGTAGGACTTGCTCCTGATTGGAGAGCAGCGTACTCGGCGTGTGGGCAGCCGAGTTAGGATTGGCGGAGGAGGACTATAAAGGAGGAGAGAGACGGCATGCATCAGGAACATCTATGGGGAACATCTGAAGGAACACCTGTGCAGCCCCCGAGAGAGCCGGCCGGCGGTGTGCCGCTCCCCTGCGGAAGTGGGGAATGCGGCCAGGGGGAACTGCCCTTCCACGGAGGTGGAAGGGATAGTAGCCAACCCGGGAAGAACCAGCAGCAAACCCGGGGAGGGCCGAGCAGACGAAAGAACAGCGCAGGGTTTAGTGTCGTTCCCCCATGAAGACGGGGAGCGACATAATGGTGCCGTGACTCGGATAGGAAACCTGACTCGGATAGGAAACCTAGGAGGGAAGAAATGACTCGGATAGGAAACCTAGGACGGATAGAAAACTTAGGAGGGAAGAAACGGGAAGATGGTGTCTTCATCTGTTTTGCGGCCATAACACAAATAACCTTATGCTGGGTTGCTTATAACAACCAGAAATTTACTGCTCACAATTCTGTGGTCTTGGGAAGTCCAAGATCAAGATCCTGGTAGGCTTACTGTCTGCTGAAGCCTCCTTCCTAGTTCATGGATGGCACCTTGTAGCTGGGCCCTCACACGGTGGGAGGGATGAGGTGTCTCTTGGGAGTCTCTTTTTTAAGGGCACTGATCTTATTCATAAGGGCTCCACTGTCACAACCTCATCAACTCCTGAAGACCCCATCTTCTAATGCTACCCAATTGGCAGTTAGGATTTCAACATGTGAGTTGGAGGAGGCATACACATTCCTTGCAGGTGATAAGCAACAGTGACTGAAACAATCACAAGAAAAAGCTTTGGAATAAGATATCTACGGGAGGTTGGGGAAGCTCTGCTGGATTCTTGGGAATCTGGATGGCCACACACATGTGCAAGTCTGTGTGCATAGCTGGAAAAGACCCAAGAAGACCATGAGTTTCTATACAAGCAGGAAGCAAAGGCTGAGTACACGTAAACTCCCAGAGCACTGAATGTGTGCCCCAGCATGCACACAGAGCTTTGCAGGAAAGGCTGGAGGAATTTCAAAATATATAAGGTAATATATGTTAGATGACAAGTAAGCTAACCAGGCCAAGACTTCACTGGCCACAGGCAATAAATAATATACAACTTTATGCTTTATAGACTTGGTTCACAGGGCACTGAACAAATAGCAGCAGCAGTAATGCTTTCAAAAATGAAAACCAGCTACAAATCCTAGGCAGTGGGGGAATCGGATTTCCAGAATTGACAAATTAATTTTTTTCAGATTTTTATTTATTTATTTGAGAGGTAGAGTTACAGACACAGAGAGGGAGTCAGAGAGAAAGGTCTTCCATCTGCTGGTTCACTCCCCAAATGGCCGCACAGCCAGAGTTGCACTGATCCAAAGCCAGGAGCCAGGAGCTTCTTCCGGGTCTTCTATGTGAGAGCAGGGGCACAAGCACATGGGTCATCTTCCATTGCTTTCTCAGGCCAAAACAGAGAGCTGGATTGGAAGAGGAGTAGCTGGGACATGAGCTGGTACCCATATGTAATGCTGACATCTCAGGCAGAGGCTGTGCCAGCCTCCAAATTCAATTATTTTAAATATCCAGTTTTAATAAATTTGTAAGAAAAATGTTGTGAATTATGCAAAGAAACAGATTACACACTTACAAGGGAATAAAAGCAATCAATTAATGCTTGCATGTTGGATTTACTAGACACAGACTTTAAATTAACTACCGTAAATATTCCAAAGAACTCAAAGTAACCATCTGGAAAAATAAAATGTGGTAATGATATCTTACCAAATAAAGATTACCGATACAGAGATTAAAAAGTTAAAAAAAAAAACTAAAGAAAAGTTCTGGAGATGAAAAGTACAATAGCTAAAATAAAAAAATTCACTAGATCCTAGTGTGGCGCAGTGGGTTTAGCCACCACTTGTGGCACTGGCATCCCATATTGGAGGGCTAGTTTGAATCCTGGATGCTCCACTTCTGATCCATCTCCCTGGGAAAGCAGTGGAAGGTGATCCAAATATGTAGGGCCCTCCCACCCAGATGGGAGACCCCTATGGATTTCTGGGCTCTTGGCACTGGCCAGGACGAGCCCCAGCCACGTGGCAATTTGAGGAGTGAACCAGCAGTTGGCAGATCGATCTCACTCTGTTCTTCTCTCCCTTTCTATCACTCTGCCTTTAAAATAAATAAATTTTTTAAAAAAAGAATTCACTAAAGAGCTCACCAACAGAATTTAGCTGGAAAACAAAACTTGAAAAATAGTTTAAATGAGGTTATGCAGTCCGAAAAATGTAAGAAAAAGTGAAAGAAGAAAGTGAACAGAGATTCAGAGAAGGGACACCATCAACCGCACTAATAGAGACATAATGGGAGCTGCAGGAGGAAGCAAGAAAGAAAAGAACAGAAAATGCTGCAAGAGCTTGTGGCTAAAAATGTTCCACATTTTATGAAAATATAAATCTATGCATCTATGTAACTCATAAGACCTGGATATTGGAAACTACACATCACTGAAGGAAATTAAAGAACATGTACATAAATGAAAAGACACCCTATGTTTGTAATTTGGAAGACTTAGTAGTAAAATGCCAACACTTTCCAAGCTGATTTACAGATTCAGTTTCTTTCTAAAGTCCAGCTCCTTTTCTGCATGGAAACTGGCAAGCTGATCTTAAAATTCATCTGCAATTGCAAGAGATCGTGAAGAGCAAAGATAACCTTGAAAAGAAAACAAAGTGTGAGGGTTCAAACTTCCAATAGCCTCATCAGAGTAAAATCAACAAGATGGAACAAACAAATATTTGGCAGGCATCCATGGACAAACAAGGCATTGTGCAAGCTTTAAGATACAGGTAGGATGTGGAGGAAACCTAAGTGTCTCATTGGATAGATGGATAAAGGAAATATTCATAGCCACGTTTCTTGCCTAAATTGAGAGATTAAATCAATCAGGTTGAATCATACTGTTTTGTGTTAAAAGTCAAGCATAATGGTTATTTTATAACTTTACTCCTAAAGTTTTAGTAGATCAATCTGCATCCATAGGTCAGCCATGTTGGGAATGCAACTTTCCTTAAGCAGTCTGCATAGCACAGGTGTTAAGATCATAGATGGTGCTGAGAGACTACAGTTCCTAGCTCTGCCTCTTTCTGCCTGGTATTTAAAAATTTGTTAATATTTATTTACTATTACCTTGCTACAAGAAAATCCAAAACAGAAGTTCTAAAAATGCTTCAAACATTGGTGTCATCTTTTGAATAAGCAACTTATTATGATGATTATTCGGATAGATTTTATTATCACATATAATTTACAGTAGGGTCATATAAGTAGTTTCTTTACTTTGGCCAGACTTTTATATATAATCACAGATTTCAATAGGGGATGGATCTCATGATTTTTTTTAATAAAAATGAGATGTCCAGGGGTGGTTGTTATGGCACAGCAGGTATAGCTGCTGCTTATGTATCCCACATCAGAATGCTGTTTCAGGTTCCAACCACTCAAATTCCAATCAAGCTTCCTGCTAAAGCATCCAGGGAATTCACAGATCGTGGCTAAGCTTCTTGGGTCTCTGCCACCCACATGGAGTTCCAGGCTCTTGGATTCAGCCTGGCATAGTATTGGCTATTGTGGGCATTTGGGGAATGAACCAACAAATGGAAGATCTCTCATTCTCATTCTGTCTCTCTCTCTCTCCCTCTCTGTCTCCCTTTCTGTAATCCTCACCTTCTCCCTCTGCCTTTCAGCTAGATGAAAAATAAATAAGTAAACATTTAAAAATAAAATACAATATCTGACACTTGTCATTCCTTCATGCTTCTGGTCACATAAGTAGAAAATACTGTAAGAAATTATAGCTAAAAATATTCTGCATCTTATGAAATAAATCTATGCATCTGCATAGCTCATAAAATCTGGATATTGAAAACTACACAACATCATTAAAGGTCAGAGGTATGGGCAATTTGGGACTCATTCTTCTTCATGTACTTGTTAACTATACATTAGATCGATTCCAACTCAGATCTCCAGCTTTGCACTCTAATATGTGTCCTCTAACATATGTTCATTTTAGAATGTTCTGTTTTCTTTTTGAGCAATATTATAAAGTGTAATGCTTTATAAGTGTAATTGATTATACGTGTAATTTATAAGTGTAATTGATTTAATACATCTATGAACAATTGTATTGTGGAGGGCATACTTCACTTTTTTCATTTCACTGTTTTGGTTTTTGACAATGCACATTTCTGAAAAGTGCTTATAAAATCTCAAAATACTAGTAGAATTTTGGAATCAAATTAATTTTAATTAAAAGAAATAGACCATATAGAATGCTTCTCATGATGATGATGCCAGCATTATAGGTTAGGGTTGTCAGATTTAGCATGTAAAAATACAGCATTCCCAGGTGAATTTGAACCAACTATTGTGCAGTGTATACTTACACTAAAATAAAGTATCCATTGTTTAACTGAAATTCAAGTTTACTGGATATACTTATTTTGTCTGGTGCTTAGTGAATATGATCAAATAGAAGATTTATGTTCTCACAGCTTATATTTTAGAGAGAGGAGTTGAACAAGACAATAAACACAATTAATTAGTAAACTGAATAGTATGTTACAGGTGTAGTATGTTACAGGTATAGGATGATAAAACAGAAGCAGGGAGATCCTTAGGCAGGGTTTTGTGGTCAAGGTAGAGATGATTTGTTCAGACTAGGGTGGTGACAGCAAACATGCTGTGAAGAGGAGAGATTCTGGAGTATATTGAAAGTTGAGCCAAGGGGATTTCCTAAAGATTCAGAATGGACTGTGAGAGAAAGAAAGGGCTTAAGGGTGAGGAGCAAGGGTTTTCCCCGAAGAAGTACTTTATAAACAGCAGGTTCCTAACTTTTGTTGGTTGGACAATGATTTTTCTGACTTCATGATGGTGTGAAAGCCATGCGCATTCAGTAAAATGATGAATGTTGATCTTTCCAGGCTAGTGCTGTCCAATCTTTCCCTGTGATGCTGGGAAGAGGCAACCAGTGCAGCTCTCGGGCAGTCACAAGGCCAGTAGAGAAACCCTGGATGCCACCTTCCAGTGCACTGTGCTGCTGAGCTAGGATGTGCCGGAGGTGAGGTGCCATCACTGTTTCCCACTAGGATAGGTTTATCAGGATGTGACCCCACCGAAGTCCAGGAGCATCTGAGGTACCATTATGATGGCTTCTAGCTAAGGAACTGGCAAATTTGTAGGTTGCAAATAAATTAAAACTGGATTTGGTGCCATTGATTTGAGTTGCACCTTTTGTTTCCTGTCCAGATGTTTTTGTGCAGATATAGCCTAGGTGTAGAAAACAAGCAGACACAAAGCCTGTCCTCTACCTTTCTGATTGGAATGTCCTTGTCCATAGATTTCTCACCTTTCGCCGCAGGTGGGAGGTGAAGTGCACAAAGCTGTTCCTGTTCTTAGAAATCCCATAAAGTCCAGAGAGCAAAAAATAACGTACTGGTTATATCACACATCAGATAACGATTAGCCTTGATATGAAAAACCCCAACCTGGAAGGCTGGGAATGTTTATACAGAGCTATGTATTGAAAGGACTGATTGTGATTGCCTTAAAGTGTTGATTAAATAACGCATCAACAGACATCTATGGACACAAGTTATAGCATGACCTACTGCTTCTTTGGGGGAAACAAAAGGCAACCCAAGACTATCATGTACTATGAATAGATTTTGGCTTAGTTATTTTATTTTCTTCCACCTGTTGGGATGAAGAGCAGCGCAGACAGCTTGCCAGCTCACCAAATGTCACCACGCCCTGAATGCTCCAGCCTCAACGTAATTATATCCTTGTTATTTATTGATACACACCATATGCCTGTCATGTCAGAGATGAGAGAATGTCAAGAAGTCATTCATTAGGCTACACTACAAAGCCTCCCTCAGTGTGCACCACTCCATTCATTCTTGCAAGGCTTTCCTGCTGAGGCCGCATGTCTCTGGGGGATTAGAACAGGCTACTCAACTCCACCAGTGAGACTTTGATAGCTGAGCCGTTGTGCCATTGCTAGAATGCAACTGCCTTCTCCCAACTATTTGCCCTGATGTAGGGTGCCATGATTCAGGTAAGTAAAAGAGAGAGAGAGAGAGAAGGAGCGAGGGAGGGAGAAGATGATAAAAATGACTTATAATTAGTTCAGAAATGTATACATTAACCTGGAAATATCTCACTCTTTCTAATTATAGTTTACACAGACTAAATTTAAAGTTGATTTGCATCTTCTAAGTCTGCATACATTGTGGAGGAGGGAGTCTTATTTAGTATCACAGATGGCAGGACGATACTGTTTTGGGATTAAAAAGAAAATATATTGTAGCCTTTCCAGTGGGGAAACAAAAAGGAGGACCTTGTTTTGTGTAAACTCATAGCTGATAATGGTGATAAGAAAAATAACCTACAAAACAATAATGGCTAATGACTTCCTGGATTTTTAACACATGCTATATAGTGCTCTGGGCCCTTCCCCTGTATTAAATCTCCTTATCTGTGTAATAATGTGAGCTGGATATTTTATTACTTTCATTTTATAGACCAAGAAACTGATGTTTGAAGAGGATAAGTAACTTGCTCACGGTTGTAGAACCAACGAGTGAAAGAAATGAGATTTGAATCCTGACAGGTTGATTCCAGCACTTGAACTTCTAGATCATATTAAACAACATGAAATATAAACAATAAAATATAAGATATTGAATAGCTTGATAAAAATGGAAGGGACCAGAGGAGACACTCAGGTTGGGGTGATAAGAAATGAAAGAAGGAAAGCCCCAAAGGGATCTCAGAATCAAACACAGATCCTAAGAACTGAGCAGGATTTTAATGCCTAGGTGGGAGCAGGACATGTGAACTTGGACCTGTGCTAGGAGGTTCCTCATTAAAGCAGGCAATATTGAAGCTTTGCCTGGTATGTATGTAAAAGGGACCAGGAAACCTTTGCCCAGCAACCTAGGTAACTGAAAGAGAGGTCATCATTTTCTTGGAATAATGATAGGCAAAGATTTTTGTGCATGTGTGAGAAAATTTAACTAGAAGAGAAAGCAGATTACAAAGCTGTCACATGCAAGTATGGAGTCCATGTTTTTGTTCTTCTCACTATAGAAGAACTTGAAGCTTATAAATACACATAAAACTTGGTCAATAGTCGGTGATGACTGGGACCCTGGCAGAAACGAATGCCCCTGAAGACTACAGAGAGTGTTCCACCATTTGGGTGTAATGAGTGGCACTGAGGGCAGGAGCATCCTGAAGTATAAGCTACCAGTGAAATAGCTACAGATCACATGAAGAAGTGAAGCACGAAAAGGAACTAAGAAAAGATAGATAGGGTAGCAAGAGTTGAAAAGTGGATTTTAAAAAGATTAAAGTAGAACTTCAGGAAATGGAAAAAAATCCAAAGAAAAAATACAATGCCTAGGAACACATGAGATCTATAGTGTTCCTGAAGCCAGAGCTGAGGGCTTCACCATGGAGAACAATATCTGGGGGTGGGGGTGGGGGCGTTAAATGAGATCCAGAAATAAAATGCTGGGGTGGACATGAGGGAAGTTCAGAGACATGGAGGCCTGAATCACAGGGCCCAACGTATTTTAAAAGGAACTCAAAAAGGAAGAAATACTACATGAAAGAGGCAAAATTTGAAGAGATAATGAGTGGATATTTTCCAAAAAATAAATAAATAAAAAAAATAAAAGTGGGGCCGGCACTGTGGGTTAACGCAGTGGGTTAACGCCCTGGCCTGCAGTGTCAGCATCCCATATGGGCACCGGTTCAAGTCCCAGTTGCTCCACTTCTGATCTAGCTCTCTGCTATAGCCTGGGATAGCAGTAGAAGATGGCCCAAGTCCTTGGGCCCCTGCACCTGCATGGGAGACCTGGAAGAAGCTCCTTGCTTTGGATTGGTGTAGCTACGATCGTTGCAGCCATCTGGGGGAGAGGACTATCGGATGGAAGACCTCTCTCTCTCTCTCTCTCTCTCTCTGTCTCCCTTCTCTATGTGTAACTCTTTCAAATAAAAATAAATAAATCTTTTCAAAGAAAAGGCATGCAGGTGCACAAAAAGGTATGTTATACAGGAAGTGCTACAAGTGGTGACACTTAGCCCAAACCTACTTTAAGGGTGTCAAGGTTTGGGTTAAGAAAGCTGAGCAATAGTGATGTGCACCCTGGGAGGCAGCAAATGATGGCTCAGATTCTGGATCCCTTCCAGTCATGAGGGAGATCTGGATTGAGTTCCAGGATCCTGGCTTCAACCTGGCCCAGCCCCAGTTGTTGCAGGCATCTGGGGGAATGAACCAGTAGATGGAAGATTCCTCTGAATCTCTGTCTTTCTGCTTTCAAATCAAATGAAAATAAATAAATAAATAGATAGATAACATTTTTAAGTAAAAAAAAATGCCAGGAGAGAATTTCTTCCTAAAAACTGGTTGAAGACTGTGACACTTTTCACCTTCTGACATGTGTGGTGGTCAGAGGGGCTATGGCAGGGGGGCAAAGAAACTTTGAGATGATCACTTGGAGACTTGGCCACTGTCCCATAGAATTTGGGAGGACCCAAAGACTGTTTTTTATGCAATGTCAAGAATATTTGGGGATGCTAAAAGGCTTTGATTGTAACTAAGGGCAGAGGCCAGGTGAGGTACGAAAGATGAGTGGTGGTGGAATACTTCTCCATTTGGCTTGGAAAATACTCATTGCTTCCGAGGGCTAAACAGACATGGTGAATTCCTGAACTTGAGCTGTCTTGAAGGGATCCTGCCAATGTGAAGGGGAAGACAGCAACAAAAGTTTGTGTGGTAAACTACTAGGGGCAGCAGGTGCGATAACTGGTGTGGTGCTTCTCTCAAAACCCACATGCTCCCAATGATAAGCATCAGAGGTAAAATCGCTACATCCCAGAAAACACTCAGCTGCGATCATGAACCTAAGAATACAGTAAGATCTGGAGACCTTTCTCTTTTCCCAGAAAACTAGCACCAAGGTCCCTCACTCCCCACTTCACTCTGAGGATTTAGGAGCCAGGACAACCACTGGAGAAGCATAAGAAAGGCAATAGAGAAGCTTCTAGTGTGACCTAGGCTCTAGCAGAAGAGCTTTAACTAAATAAGTTTCCAACAACTTACTAGGGCCTAAGGAAAAATGTTTCATTTACTGAGATGAGATTTTCTGCTTTATTGATTAAAAATAATCAGGGTGGCACTGTGGCACAGTAGGTTAATTCTCTGCCTGCAGTGCTAGCATCCCATATGGGCACCGGTTCAAGTCCTAGCTGCTCCTCTTCTGATCCAGCTCTCTGCTATGGCCTGGGAAAGCCGTAGAAGACAGCCCAAGCTATTGGGTCCCTCACCTGCATGGGAGACCCTGAAGAAGCTCCTGGCTCCTGGCTCCTGGCTCCTGGCTCCTGGCTTCGGATCTGCCCAGCTCTGGCTGTTGCGTGTGGCCATTTGGGAGTGAACCAGAAGTACGAAGACCTTTCTCTGTCTTTTCCTCTCACTGTAGCTCTGCCTTTCAAATAAATAAGTAAATCTTAAAAAAAAAAAAAATCGGACTTCTTTTCAACACCATCCTGGAAGTCCTAGCTAATGTAATAAGATAATAAAGGTATGCAAATTGAGAAGAAAAAATTAAACTGCCTTTGTTCACAAGATGACATGATTGCATTTTATGAAAAGATGTGATGGCTTAAAAATTTTTTGCACCAAAATAAATTGATGTTTTTATTCTATTTTTCACAAACCTTTTGAAGTATCCTCATATACAAAAGGTAATCACTTTTGTATTTACCAGTAATGAATAAGAAGAATTTGCCATTAAAAGCAGAATACCTCTGTGGGTGTTTGTCAAAGCAGTTAAGGTGCTACTTATGGATGCCCACATTCCATACTGGAGCACCTGGGCTTGAACTGCTCCTGATTTCAGTTTCCCGCTAATGTGCACCTGGGAAGCAGGAGGTGATGGCTCAAGTAGTTGGGTCTCTTGCTCAAGTAGGAGACACAGATTGAGTTCTTAGCTCTCAGTTTGGGCCTGGCTCAGTTTTCGCTGTTGCAGGCATTTGGGGAATGAATGGATGGATGGGAGGAATCTCTCTTTCTCTGCTTTTCTTTCTTTTTTTTTAAAAAAAGATTATTTATTTATTTATTTGACAGGTAGAGTTATAGACAGTGAGAGAGAGAGAAAAGCCTTCCCTTGGTTCACCCCCCGAGTGGCCGCCACGGCCGGCACTGAGCCAATCCGAAGCCAGGAACCAGGCGCCTCCTCCTGGTTTCCCATGCAGGTGCAGGGGCCCAAGGAATGGGGCCATCCTCCACTGCCCTCCCGGGCCACAGCAGAGAGCTGGACTGGAAGAGGAGCAACCGGGACAGAATCTGGCACCCCAAACGGGACTAGAACCCGGTGCCCATATGGGATGCTGGTGCCGCACGCAGAGGATTAGCCAAGTGAGCCATGGCGCCGGGATGTCTTTCTCTGCTTTTCAAATAAATAAAACAAACAAAAATTTTAAAAACAAGCATAATACTATTTACCTTAGCAACCCCCAAAATTCAGTGCTTAGGTATAAATCTAACAGAATCTGTGGGGAATATAAGGAAAACTACAAAACTCTAATTTAAGATAACGAACTAAAAAAAATGCAGAGATTTTACATGTTTGTGAATAAGAACACTTAATGTCAAGATGTCATTTCTTCTCAACTTAATTTATAGATTCAAAGCAAAGTCAATAAAATTTCCAGAAAGTTATTTGTGAATGTCTTCAAATTGATTCTAAAGTTTGTATAGACAAAGAATGACAGTAGCCCACTTAGTATTACAGAAGAAAACCAGAGTTGATGGCCTGACACTAACTGACTTTAAAACTTTCTTTGAAGCAAAATGGTAAAACACAGATCAGTGGACAGAACAGAGAAATAGACCCACAGAAGTACAGTCAGTTTTGACAAAGCAGCAAGCACAGTAAAATGGAGTCGAGCTGGTCTTTTCAACAAATGATTCTTGAAAAACTGGACCTTCATATCTAAATAAATGAATCTACATCTTATATCCTTCACAAAAAGACAAAATGAAAATGAATCACAGACCTAAATGAAAAAATTGCAACACTAGAGCGTTCCTAGAAGATAACACAGGAGAAAGTCTAGATGACATGGAGTATGCCAATAACTTGTTACATAAAATGCCAAACACAAAAAATATAAAAGAAATAATTGAATAGCTGGATTTTATTAAAATTGGAAACTGTCTTGGGAAACAGTGTCAAGAGAATGAGAAGACACGTCACAGAGCAGGAAAAAGTATTTTCAAAAGAAAAATCTGATTATGGGCTCACCCAAAATATGCTGAGAACTCCTAAAATGTAACAATAGGAAAATAATCCAAACTTAGAAAAAGACTTTATCAAAGACCAAAGACTGCATCAGCTACCTCACCAAAGGAAATACACAGATGACAAATAAGCCTGTGAAAAGAAAATGCAAATTGAAACACGCACAGTGAAAATCTAGAACACCAACAATATAGAATATTGGTGAGGATGGGGGACAAGAGGAACTCTCATTTGTTGCTGGTGGTAATGCAAAATGGTATAACCACTGTGGAAGACAGATTGGTGTTTCTTACAAAACTAAGCCTACTCTTACCATAGGATACAGTGATTGTACTCTTTCATGTTTACCTAAAGGAATTTAAAACTTGCATCCACACAAACACCTGTGCGTGGGTGTTTATAGAAGCTTTATTCATAATTGACTAAACTTGGAAGCAACCAAGATGTCCTTCAGTAGTTGGATGGATAAAGTGTGGTATATCCCGACAATAGAGTATCATTCAGCATTGAAAGGAGATGAGCTATGATGTCCTGACAAGATGTGGAAGAACCTCAAGTGTACATTGCTAAGTGCAAGAAGCCAATCCGGAAAGGCTACTTACTGTATGACCCCAACTATGTGACATTCTTGCAAAGGTGAAACTATGAACACAGTGTGTGTGTGTGTGTGTGTGTGTGTATATATATAACAGCAACCAGTGGCTGTCAAAGGTTAGGTGTGTGTGTGGGGGGAGGCATGGACAGGTGTAGCTCAGAGGATTTTCTTGATGGTGCTTATAATGATGGATACATGTTGTTATACATTTGTCAAGACCTATAGGATGTATAATACCAAGAGTGAACCCCAATGTACACTGTAGACCAGAAGTGATAACGATGTGTTAGGGATGGTCATCAGTTGCTACAAATACACCACTGCAATGGGTGATGTTGGTAGTGGGCAGGCTATGCACATGGGGAATCTTTGTACATTCGCTCAGTTTTGCTGTGAACCTACAACTGCTCTAAAAATTAAAACACATTTGAAAGAAAATGCTTTTAGAATTTTAGAATGATGAAAAAATGTTACCTGCAATAGATTTCATCCAAGATAGAAGGAAAAACTAGCTTTACAGAGTAAATTTCAATGAGCATGGGGAGATCAATGAAACCATTTTCTGCATGTACCCTAATGCTCTGTTCTCTCAGTGTAATTACTATGGGAAAATTTTCTTTAAAGATGTGACAATCTGAGGAATGGAAGACATTTCATCAGCAAAAAATAGAAGTGAGAAGGTTGGAGGAAATAATAAAATTCCATTATTCTATCATTCAAGACTAGAGCTGAATGAGAGTGTATTCTGATACACACACAGAGAAGACTATGAGTTTACTCAGAGCTTCAATAACCACTAAAGGATGTATTTCAGTGAGAAGAAAATTGAATACCAAGGGAAACAGAATGCAAGAAGCATTGGTAAGAAAACAATTGGTAACACTTGGAAATTCTAAGTAAGCATTGATAACTTGGGGATTTGTTTTTAAGCAAGATGAAAGCAACATACTAGATAGTAATGTAGATGCTAGGAAGGAAAATAAGAATTAAGCATTTGAAGATCTTTGTATATTTCACAAAGAGTGTAGATTCAAATTTAATGCACTAACTCATTGCTAACTGCTTTTATGTTCTGTTTCTTTAAATTCTGATCTTAAATGATATCTTTTATCCTATTTACTTTCTTTACTGCCCCAATCTTTTTCTGACATTTTATGCTGAACATGTATGTCAATGAATTTTAGTCTTCTGTTTTTTCCTAATAAATGTATATATATGATGAATTTCCCTCAAAGTTCCATCTGCATCCTAGAAATTATAATAAGCAGTCCTCTTATTGTCTTTAAATGTGAAACATATTTCTAATTTCTGTCTCATCTTAAACAAATAACTATTTTAAAATTTCTTTCTTTCTTTTGTTAAAATAATCCCGTGGGCAGAGGGAGAGGTTGGCTGTCTTTTCGCTCTTGAGTTGCATTTTTTAAAGATTGTGATCAGAGGCTGTTTTATCTCAATTTTTTGGTGTTTGTTGAGGCTTCTTTGGAAGCCTAGGATGCTCTTGATATAATTGTGACCTATTATTGATGATATCAACAAAGTATTTGTCATGTGTCTTTTTTCCTTTCCGTTTTGGAAGTAATGGATATACTTCTAATACTTTGACACTATTAAAAATTGTTTGAATCAATTATTTTTGTGATAACTTATATTGGGTAGGAAATACATGACAATGCTAAAAAATTAAACAACAGTGTTAAATAGGTATTAATAGCAGGAATCTATCCTAATCTCAGAGGGAAGAGTTCGTTATTTCACCATGAAGCATGAGTGTTTTCCGTAGATTTTTTTCTTTCTGATAGCTAACTCTTTGTTATATAAAGGGTTTTTGGTTTACAAACAATCATGAATGGTACTGAAGTTTACTGATTTTTCTTTCTATGTCTATCAAGGTAATCGTAATTCCTTTTCTTTTTTTGCCTGTTAATGAAGTGAATTATATTGATGGATTTTCTTTTTTATTTTTAAAGATTTTATTTATTTATTTGAAAGTCAGAGTTACACAGAGAGAGAAGGAGAGGCAGAGAGCGAGAGAGAGATGTCCTCCATCTGCTGGTTTACTTCCCAGATGGCCACAATGGCTGGAGCTGTGCTGATCCAAAGCCAGGAGCCTGAAGCTTCTTCCAGTTCTCCCACGTGGGTTCAGGGGTCCAAGGACTTGGGCCATCTTCTACTGCTTTCCCAGGCCATAGCAGAGAGCTGGATTGGAAGTGGAGCAGCTGAGACTTGACCCAGCACCCATATGGGATGCCGGCACTGCAGGCAGTGGCCCTACCCACTACGCCACAGCACAGGCCCCATTGATGGTTTTTCACATTTTGAATCAACCTGTATTCTTGTGTTGAATTTCCAAGTATATAAAATTTTAAATTGTATTTTTATTATTAATTTTTAGCTTCATTCTGGTGTGGTCAGAAAACATATCTTGAATGACTAAAATCTCTGGCTTTTGGTAAGATTTGCTTTGTGGACCAGCATGTGGTCAGTTTGGTAGCTGTTTCCTTTACATTGAAATACATTTTGCTATTGTTAGCTAGATCCCAAGTGATTCACGATCTCTGTCTTCATTAATATGTTTCCTGGTTGATCTTTCAGTTACTGAGTAAAGCAGTTAAATTCTCCCACTATGAATGTGGACTTTCAATTTTTTCTTTTATGTGTGTCATATTTTTCTTCCTATATTCTGAAACCATGTTAGTAAATACACAAAACTTAAAACTGTTACATATCATTTTGTCCCTCTTTATCTCCATTAATGTTTCTTACCTGAATGTCTACTTTGCTGGATATTGGTATTTACTGTGATAATTTTCTTTTGCTTGGTGTTTACATGGTAGCTCTTTTTCCATATTTTATATTCAGCTTTTCTTTGTTGTTATATTTAAAGTGTATCTTTTCAAAGCAGTATAGAGTTGGATTCCATTGATTTTAATTTAATCCAGTGACAATATTTTTAGTTGAATATTTATTCTGCTTATATGTAATGTGAGTATAGACATAGTTGGGCTGTGTTTACCATTTTATGATTATTTTCTATTTAAACTATATGTGTTCCATGGTCCCCACTCACGCCTATCTTTCATTCTTCTGCACACATCACGTTTTTCTGTTATCTTTCTCTGCTCCACCATCAGCATGAGAAGTATGTTTGGTCTATGTTCTTGTACTGGTGGTTACTCCTGAGACTGCAACATGCACCCTTGACTGATTCAGCATTTTGACTTCTTTATAAAAATAATAGAACTATCGAACTCTTCAGCTCCTTTTACCTTCATCTGCCTTGTGTGTCTATTTCATGCTTGTCAATTCTGTATATATTTGAGCCCTGTGAAATGTTACTAGTTTTGTACAGTCAATATTTATAGAGATTTACCCATGTCTTTTGCTTTGCATTTCTGTTTGTATTTATGTACTGGTATAGCCATATACCCATATGTAATCATTTTCTGTCCACTTGAAAAATTCCTGTTACTATCCATTTTATTATGGATTTACTGTGACAGATTCTCTCCATTTGTGTTGATCTAGAAAAATTTTTTCTTGCCAGATATAAGATTTTAGGTTGGTAGATTTTTTTTCCTACTTGAAAAATGGCATTCCATTATCTTCTGGGTTCCAATATTCCTGATGCCTCCCATTATTCTTTCAGAGATAATTTTTCTTCTTATTTCCCACTGACAGAATATGGGGGAAAAATCTACTTGAAGACATAATATAGCTATTAAGGCATTGAAGAATTATAGGGTCAAAATTGGAAGGAAAACAATTCCGGAGGGCTCAGTGTTTGGGCTGCTTTATTCTAGAGATAGCTGCTGATTTCAGAAGATGCAGCTAAGGATCTGAGAAAAGCTCTTCGCTGCCTCATAAATCTTGGAGGGTAACAAACGGAGATCATGATGAGACCCGTGGTGCGGTGCAGCAGGTTAAGCCATTTCTTCTGACTCCAGCATTTCATATCGGAGTGCCAGTTTGAGACCCAGCTACTCCCGTTCCAATCCAGCTTACCGCTAATGTACCTGGGAAAGCAGCAGATGATGACCCAAGCACTTGGGTCCCTGCCACACATGTGCAAGATCCTGATGGGGTCCCTGGCTCCTGGCTTCAGCCAAGGACAAATGCCTGACTATTGCAGGCATTTGGAAATTGAATCAGAAAGTAGATCTCTCTCTGTCACTCTGCCTTATGAATAAATAAATAAATAAATAAATATTTTTTAAAAAGAAATGGAGATCATGGCCTACTCAGGTCAGAGACGACCGTGATAACTCCCCCTTGGGCCTTGGATGGGGACCTTAAAAGCTACATCATAGGAGAAAAAGCAAAATGCAAATAGACCAAATTTGAGTCGTCTCAGTTTTTGATTTGGTTTAGGTAGCCTGGGATTGCCAATGCTTTGATATAAACCAATTTGCGACAAATATAAATCTCTTTGGAGGAAGATAACACAATCCAGACCCTAAAACCCTCCTTACTCTCTTTCACATGTAATATCCTGTGTGCAATAAAAATTAACCAGTCACACAAGGAGACAACATAACATGACAAAAAAAAAAAAAAAAGAAAGAAGGAAAGAGGAAAAAAAGGACAGAGAGAAATAATTACTTTCAAATTGAAATAACCCTACAGAAAATAGAGTATCAGATAAGTTTTAAAATGTTCAAAACATTTTAAAGCAGATGAAAATTTTGACAAATGAATAGAAAACATTAAAGGAACCAAACTGTAATTTTAGCAGTAAAAAAATACAGTTGCTGAAATGAAGAACTCCATAAATAAGTTTATTAGCAGGTTCAACTCAGGTGAAATGAGAATTAGTAGGTGGAAGTTAATTCAAAAGAAATAACTATACTAAATCTCAAAGCAACAGCAATAAGAAAAAAAAATCTCTAAAGCAAGTGTAAGAGACGTAGGACACACACCTTATCCCTCTTAGTAGTTTTTTTGTCTGTTCTACTTAATATGACTGGTTTAATTCTGTAATTAATACACAGTTATTCTTAAGTGTTGAAAACTAACTGAAATGTGATCCCTGTTAAACATAAGAGTGAGAATAAGAGAGGGAAGAGATGTATAATTTGGGACATGCTCAAGCTGACTTGCCCCAAATGGTAGAGTTAGAAACATACCAGGGGATTCCAATTCAATCCCATCAAGGTGGCATGTACCAATGCCACCTCACTATTCCAAGTGATCAATTTCAGTTCACAATTGATCATAATGAAAGGACTAAGAGTCAAAGGGAGCACATAAACAAGTCTAGTACCTGCTACTACTAACTGATAGAATGGGAAGCGAGATACTCAGCAGACTCATAGAATGGTGGATGTTCTAAACAGCACTCTGGCCTCAGAATCAGCCCTAAAGGCATTCCGATCTGGCTGAAAATCCCATGAGAATATTTCAGGCATGGAAAGCCAAGACACTCTGGCAAAAAGATCTCTGTGAGTGAGATCCCAGTGGAAAGAACAGGTCTTCAAAGAAGGAGGTACCTTTCTCTGAAGGGAGGAGAGAACCTCCACTTTGAAATGACCTTGTCTAAACAAGATAAGAGTCGGAGAACTCAGAGGGCTTCCATAGCCTTGGAAACTCATGACTGGAGCATAGGGAGATTACTGATGCCATAGACAGGAGTGTCAATTGATAAAGTCAACAACAGGAGTCACTGTGCACTTACTCCTCATGTAGGATCTCTGTCCTTAATGTGCTGTTCATTGAGATTTAATGCTATAACGAGTACTCAAACAATATATTTCACTTTGTGTTTCTATGGGGGTGCAAACTGTTGAAATCTTTACTTAATGCATACTAAACTGATCTTCTATAAAAAAAAAAAAAGAAATTATCAATTCCCAACTTGACTCTCACTGGGATTAAACATGACAATAGGTCTGATCTGATTTCATCATCATTTAAAAAAATCATCTATTATTTTTCACTTTATGTTTCTGTGTGGGAGCAAACTGTGGAAATCCTTACTTAATGTATACTAAGCTGATCTTCTGTATATTAAGATAATGGAAAATGAGTCTTGATGTGAATGGAAGGGGAGAGGGAGTGGGAAAGGGGAGGGTTGTGGGTGGGAGGGACAGTATGGGGGGGAAGCCATTGTAATCCATAAGTCGTACTTTGGAAATTTATATTCATTAAATAAAAGTTAAAAAAAATAAAAAAAAATTAAAAGTGGAAATGGGAGAGGGAGGAGGATGAAAGATTGGAGTATGAACGGGAGGGAGATAAGTATCACTATGTTCCTAAGTCTTTGTATGGGAAATACATGAAACTTATGTAACTTAAATAAAATTTAAAAAACACAAGGAAAAAAAAAAGACGTAGGACACACAGTGAAAAGCTCAACGTACGTGTTACCGGAGCCTCAAAAGAGGGAGAAGAGAGAGATAATGGGGCAGAGCAATATGTTAGAAGATAATAGCTGAGAATTAAGCCATAAAGGCTATCAAGCCTCAGTTGTATAACACATTGAAATTCTCAGAAAAAAATAAAGAAAACCATATACAGTGTAATGACATTACAGTGAAGCTTCTGAAAAACAAGTAGAGAAAGAAATCTTGTAAGAGGCCAGAGGGGAGACAGTAAGAGTTGAGTTTGTAACAGAACAGTGGCTGCCAAGAG